ATTCCCTTTGGGTGCGAGGACCACATTTGCCAGCCATTCCGGGTAACGGACTTCCCGGATGTGCCCAATGGACTGCAGGGTGGTCACCTGCTTGGTGACAAACTCTCTCCGTTCTGAGGAAAGAAAACGCTTTTTCTGCTTGACCGGCTTGTGGGTCGGATCTACTGCCAATCTATGGCAGATGATCTTTGGGTCGACCACTGGCATATCCTCTGCCCCCCAAGCAAATAGCACCTTGAATGCTCGGAGAACCCCCAGTAGCTGCTCCTTTAATTCAAGCGACAAGGTCTTGCCTACCTTCACCTTCCGCTCTGACTCGATTGGGTCCAGAGAAACTTCCTCGACCTCTTCCGCTGGCTCAGCTCGCGGTTGCCCCTCCTCCTTCTGGATTGCAGCGCAGATCGTGCTTACATTCTCGTCGACCCGGGCGTGGCTTTTGGTCGCCCTGACGTAGCACGACCGTGACAGGCTTTGGTTTCCCTTGGCCACCCCCACTTCCGTGGGAGTGTTGAACTTTTAGGCATAAGTGGGCGGGGGAGATTACGCACTCTAGATCCTCCAACCCTGGTCGTCCCAGAATCAGATGGTGTGCACAGTCGAGCTGCACTACCATAAATTCCATGTCGATCCAGAGCCGGTGGGTGCCATCTCCCACCCCGGCCTTCACCGTGATGGTTCCTTCAGCCTCTATAGTATCCCCTGTGAACCCTGATAGTGGTGTATGGATTGGTTTCAGGTCGCTCCGGGACAACCCCAACTCCTTAAAGGTATTGCTGTACATGATGTTGACCGAGCTACCCATATCGACCAAAGTTCGGTGAACAACCACGTTATTGATCTCCACCTTTATCACCAAAGCATCCCTGTGAGGGCTGAGGACCGGGGGATAGTCCTCGTCTGTGAAGATCAGAGGTTCCTTCTTCTTTCGCTTAGGCAGCGGCGGCCTCTGTACCTCGGCCAGGTACACCATGTTCTTCCACTTCCTCCGGGAGGACACTGAATCT